AGTGTCCTGAAACTGGAGAAAATCAACATCAAGGACCTCGGAATCTGGGACTGATTCCAGGATTTTTGGGTGATTTGAGGTGATTTTTCGTAGTGCAGAATTTAGGGCGTCTTTAACTTGAGTTAATGAGCTTATAGTGGACTGTATATTATGCCCGCCTGAGAGAATATCGTCCACGTATATTTCGCGTAGGAGGATATTGCTGGCGAGCGGGAATTCGTCTTGACCATCCTGTGCTAACTGATGAAGCGTACGGATTGCAAGATAGGGAGCGCAATTGACGCCAAAGGTGACTGTTTTCAGCCTAAAATCTTCTATGGGCTTATTTGGGGACCTACGATAGAAGATTCTTTGGAAGTCTTGGTCTTCCTTGTGGACGAGAATTTGGCGATACATCTATTCGATGTCGCCATTAAAAACAAACTTGTAGAGACGCCATCGGAGAATGATAAGCATCGAGTCGTTTTGAAGGGTTGGGCCAGTGTATAGTACGTCATCGAGGGAGTTTCCAGAGTNTAGAAGATTCTTTGGAAGTCTTGGTCTTCCTTGTGGACGAGAATTTGGCGATACATCTATTCGATGTCGCCATTAAAAACAAACTTGTAGAGACGCCATCGGAGAATGATAAGCATCGAGTCGTTTTGAAGGGTTGGGCCAGTGTATAGTACGTCATTGAGGGAGTTTCCAGAGTGGGATATTCTGGAAGCATTGAAGACTACGCGTACTTTTGTTGTTTTGCTGTCGGGTTTTATGACAGCATGGTGCGGTAAATAAAAGGAGAAGTATTTACCGTCTTTGATGACTTCTTGGGATGAGGTGGGCTCCATATGGTCCATGGTGATGTATTCTTCCAGAACTTCTGAGTACCTTTTGCAGAGGCCAGGTTTTTTCTCCACAGTCCTTTCGATGCTGATATACTGCTGCTGCGCTGCTAGTCGAGAGTGACCTAGAGCCATGGGGTCTGGGAATTCGGGTTTTATGGGTAGCTTCACCATATATCGTCCATCTGCGGTTGTTGTGCGTTGATACAGGTCCTCGCAGAACTCCTCCTCACTTGAACGGGGTTCAGTGACTGCTACTTGCTCCTCTCCCAAAACTTCTTCAGCAGTGAGTTTAATGATTCCTCCTGGGGTTCGGTTACCTGGGTGGTAAAGGTGGAGATCCTCTCCTGGATTGGGCCGCTTAGAATCCATCCGAATATCGTGTTCTGCGCTATGAGACTTCCGCTTATGTTTTGTTGCAGCCCTTGTAGGATAATTCGGGGGATTAGGTCACTGCCGATTACCATATCAATTTTATTTGGGGTGAAACAGTTGGGATCGGCGAGCCTTAATTGCTTTATCTCTTCTAAGTTAATATGAGAGATATTCGAAGTGGGGAGAAAATGGGTCAATTGGGGCAACATAATGGCTTGGGTCTTTATTTTATGGGCTCGATCTGCTGAGCAGAGTGTGACTTCGCACATTTTCCTTGAGTTTTGCACCACCATTCCACCCATNAACAAACGTCTTATGTGAGCCTTGATCCACCAGAGCGCGAATATTATGATATTCGCCACCACAATATATAGGTACCATCGCCGTTGGGAGGAGAGTTGTGACGTTAGTAGCCGAAAAATGAGACGACACTTTATTTGCGTCGGTTTTCTCTGGGGGTTGGTGCTTCACATATTTTGAGCAAGTGGGCGCTTCAGTATGCGTATTAGTCTGAGTCGACAGCTGACTCGTTGTTCGTTGGGGTTTTGAATTGAGTTGGGGGGTCTGGGTCTTTTGCGGGAAGTGTAAAAGAGAGTGATGTCTACGTTGACAGTATACACAAGTGAAGTTACTTGTACACTCACTCTTTAAGTTTGAGTACGAAAGACAATTTTCACAGTACTTGTTTTCTCTTACGAATCTTAAACGGTCAGATACGGATAATGCTTTATGTCTTCATGGGGTGCCTTGAGTGGCAGAGTTTGCATGAAATCGACTGATTTAGATAGACATGGAAATTTTGAGTTCTACTTTTATTAATGAACGTCGAATTTTGGTTCATCATTCTGGGTGTAAAATGTGGGGTAGGGGGTTTTAGTTTCCCTGGCCGATATGCATGTAGTCTTTCTACTACTTCATACCGGCTTGTGAGGAATTTATTCATATCTGCCCACAGCGGTAACTCTTTCTGTGAGCTGAGTGATTGCTCCCATAGAGACAGAGTTTCACTGGGCAGTTTTGAGGAACATAAATATACAAGGATGGGGTCCCAATTTCTGGTCGGGATTCCTTGTGCTGAGAGGGTTGAGAGACAATTATTGGTAGTGGATTGAACTTTTTGGATTTGCTCACCACTTTCTGTATATATGGGGGGGATATTAAATAGAGCTTTTAATTGGTTGTCCACCAATATCCTACGGTTTTCGTACCGTGACTTTAAGGCATCCCAGGCTAGTTCAAAATTGTCATCAGTGAGGGGGAACTGTTTCACTATTTGTCCGGCCTGGCTTCTTGTTTTTTGCCTTAAATGGTACAGTTTCTGGGCTGGGGTTAGTTTGGGGTGATTTTTGTAGACTGCCGTGAACATATCTCTGAACGCCGGCCAGTCTTCGTACCCACCGTGGAAAATTCACTGTATCACACGGTGGTACTTTGAGAAATACTTCTTGGGAGTTCGAAGTTGGGGCGGAGTTTGCCGTTCGGATGGTGGTTTCTTGGGACTGGGAGTTTGCCCCGAGAAGCTGTAAGCCGTCTAAGATTTGCGTCTTACAGTTCTCATAGCTTTCTGAGCATTTATTATATTTTTGCTCAATCGATCCGCTAGATTCAGCGAAGACCTCAGAGCGGGATACTGCTCTATATGAGCTTATTAGAGCATCCCATAACTTGTCAAGTTGCTGTAACTTCACATTTAAGAGCGTTTGGGTGTGTTCGCTTATCAGGGTGCTGGACCATTTTGAATAAAAAGACTCTAGCCTATTGCTATCAAAAATGAAGTCCTGAAGGCTTGAGTCAGAACTAGTAGGGGATTTCTTTTCCATTTTGTGGGGCATAAAACTTTGAGCTTAGGTCAATTAACAAAAAATTCTTCTGATGTTACTGGGAAAGCGTAATGTAAATAATGCCGTAATTTATTTGTTCTAACTTTCTGGGTATAGCGTAGTTTGTCCCACTGTAGCGCAATTAGTTTTTGTTCCACTGTACTGTCTTAACGCGTCCAAGTACAGTAACAAGGCTTTATTATGTACAACGCGAGAGCAAACTAGGGGAGGAGCTTATGTATGTATATGTGTATATACGTAGATGTTTGTATGTACTTCGACAACTTTTTATATGTACGTATCTACGAGTGAGTAACCACAGAATTGAGCTCGAACTGCGACTAACGGCTGAGAAAAAAAGGGGAATTGTCAAAATAAGCCGCGTAAATATCTGTATGTATGTAAATTAAGCTGAAGCCAATTGGAGTAATATTAGTATGGCTCGCTAGGTGTTAGAAAAACCAAACAGCAAATTTTGGGTAACAGATTAAATCTCTATATGTATTTATGTATATTGATACAAGCGTTTTTATATAGTGTTGTCTTATTTTGTGCACAAATACAAATTTTTTAATAAATGGGGTCTATCTGAGATTTAATGTATATAGTTGAGTACATATGCGTACGAGCTTTTTATAACTTTTCTTTACTAGCCGCACCCTAGTGTATACTTTGTTTTTTTCTGTTTTGGAAACTGTATTGCCTTAGCGCGTCTAAGTGCAATACTGTATGTACATATGTGTGAGTATGTATGTTCAATTGGTTAAGTTGCAATTTTTACAAAGGCAAAGGGTTGTTGGAGAGCGAGGGAAACGAATATGTAGAAGTGAGAATATTGTAATGCGATAAAAGCATACAATTTGCAACCCTATAAATCACCTTGTATGAACACACCTTAAAGCTAATCTAGTACAATTAAGAACTTAGAATTTACGATATTTGAATGCGACAATGCAAAACGCCTGAATGCAAAATGTGAAAAATATATTGGCGGATTCGCCAGCGTACCTTCAACTCGAACACAAGTACTTTTTCTTTAAATTAAATTCGACCTGCTAGCCACCAAGGCATCGGGTGCAGTCAGCAGCATCGGGCAACAAATGGTTGCCTGCACCAACGCAGCCCCATGCAGGCGTTGGCCGGAATCAGAGCCGGCGGAGCACCAGGGCTCCACAGTTGCAAGCGCAAAGGTATGCTACCAATATAATTTTTGAATGAAGTGGAAAGGCCACTTCACATGGCGACCGTGACCCATGCGGTCAAAATGGCGAACCTCGGGCGAAGGAGAAATTATCATTCAAAATGTGGGCAAAGCCAACAAAATTTCCTAAAAAAAAAATTAAATGTGAAACAACAATAAAATCCAAAAAAATGAACTTAAAATTTATTTAAAAAAAACAAAAATTACAAAAAATAAAATAAAGGTTAAAAAAATAAAAAAAAAGGGTTTTTACAAAAAAAAAAGGACTAAAACTTTTATACGCATACATACATATATGTATATGCACGCATATGTGTACAACAAAATTAAAATGAAAATGGACTCAAAAAAATTAAATTATATTTAAAAAAAAAATGTGGTGGTTACAAATAATTAACTAAAAATTATTACAAAGGCAAGAGAAAAAACTTTCAAAGATTGCGACCAAAAAATGTGAAAAACTTTAAAAATTACAAAAAAAAAAACTCAAAAAATCCCAAAAAATCGGTTGTACCCAATTTTTAAAACAAATTACAAAACGTAAGAACAAAATTAAAAAAATCCAAAAAATCGGTTGTGCCAAATTTTAAAATAATTTACAAAGCTAAAACACAAAATGCGAGATAAGTGCAGTGGCTGGTGGCTAAAGTGGTTTTTTTAAACAAAGCAAAAATATAGTGGCTAAAGTAGTTTTTTAAATAAAGCAAAAATACAGTGGCTGGGGGTACAGCAAACAAAACATTGAAACTTAAGGTGAAAAGTTTAAAAACCAAATAAAATAAACTTAAGTGATTGTAAAAGGACAAAAAGAGGAAAAAAACGGCAGAGTGTACATTTTAACGCGCGACTGTACCACCAAAATATACCACGCCACCACTGAACAGTAACACCCGTTACCTAAATGATAACACCTACCGCTCTTTGACTTCATTATTGTGTTCTTCAATCATTTTCGCGACTACATTCTTTGAATCGGTAAAAGTTGTTGATGCCAAAATAGATTAAACTAGCTCTGAACGGCTGTTCAGCCTGTAAACGTTTACTGTCTGCTCTACCGCTAACTCATGGGATTTCGCTTGAATCATACCCTCAATAATTAAAGATCGCTCTAATGCATCAGATAATTCCTCTACTCGCTTCGCAAAATCGGCATAGTTGTTATTAGTAATATGTAATGACGCGATTTTGCCGGAGACAACTTTGGAATTATCTGGTTTATTTCTGCTGCGTAGCGCAACCTTTATTTGATCCACTGAAATTATTTGACTGGGTAAAACCTCACGCGCTCAGGTGTTGCCATTTTTATGTCGTTTGTATACGCAATAAAATTAATATTTGGTGAACTAATCGTTACGCAAGGCGTTTCTTCAATTTGTAAAAATTCTTTAAATGAAGGCAAAGAACAACTTTTTTTAACGGTGGAAACTTCTGGTGTGCCAGCTGAACAAGCGTCAGCAAAGTCGTCGTCGGAATCTACTTCAGAATTTAAAATATCTTCTTTTATAAGAACTGAAAAATCTTCGGGTACTAGAACTTTACACCCAATTTTTTGAAAACACTGAATTAGTTTTTCTCTGCACCGCGGTAAACTTTTAATTATAGAAGCTGGCTTGTTTCCTTGTTCCGAATTTTTTACTTGAATTAAAATATCGTTGTAAGTTTCGATTAAAGATTTTTTATATTCGTCAACTTTTTCCCGATTTGTTGAAAGTGGGCGGCTTTGAAGAACACGCTTGGTATCTTTTGAAAATTTTGCTTGTAAATCTTTAAATACAAGTTCGACATCTGACATCTGGCACACACGCAAAGCAAAAGATCTATAAAAATCTATCGAATATTGTGTTATTGGAAAAAAAATTATTTGAATAAATTTATAATATTAAATAAAGTTGTAATATTTGAAGTTTGGCTACCACGGCATAAAAACTGAGGAAAACGTTTATTGATATTTATAATCGTTGAAATATTTTACTACATTTCAAACGAAATTCTAAAAGTTGTATAAAGTCAAGGCAATGGCACAGGCGAATATTCGTATTAAATTTGTATCGAATATTTGAAAAAAGAAAAATTTATGAAAATTCCACGGGCAAATAGACCAAACAGTTTTCGAGGAGGTTTTAGAGGGCACAACAACTATGGCTATCACAACAATAGTTTCAGGTATAATAGCGGCAATACAAATAGGCACAATAATGGCAATAGCACAAGGCACCAAAATCAAAATAATTACAATAGAAGTAACAACTTTAACAATAAACCAAATAATTACAGA